GCTGATAACGCAAATCTAGGTGTATAAATAAGCTCAAGTAATAAAAACCTAGATACAGCGAATACCGCAAGGATACGGATCAACTGTAGTACCAGGATCGAACACAGGGAATAGTTAACACTAAGAACAAGACTCGACTAAGATTCAGATCAGCAAATAGCAGAAGAAATAGATGAATAGCGAAAATAAAACAATAAATAAACTAAGTAAAATCAGATAACTAAACCACCGTAGCTTCGGGATAACCTTAACGCGCAGGGATTGTTTCTAAGGATGGAGAATCTACAAATATCAAACTCTAATCGAGGACCTCAAGTTCTAATATCAGATTTGGCTCTCTCAAGTCCTAAATCCACTATCCAATAATTTAACCTATCGATCTCTCAACCTAATAGATTAAAATATCAAACGCCCTAATGATCACTATCACAGTTCCTAAACCGATTAACCTATCTCTCAATAGTCTTAATCAATTTATTCAATGAATTCGTTCCGAATCTAATCTCAAATCTCGTTGCAAATCAGAATCTAAAATCAATCAATCAACTGGTCAAGAAGATCAAAAGCAATAAACTCAATTCAACTAAACTGCCGAGTATCGATAACGTAGTTTCGGAAAATAAAAACCAAACAAATCCCTACAAGGTTAAATCTCTAGCTACAGTGAAACGACTACTCACTACCCATAACAACAAACAAGTTCAAATCAATAAGAAGAAACATAGAAACAGATAAAGAAGACTCGCAACGATCTTTCGACGACGATTCTTCAATCTCTGCTCCCGGAAAACTCCGTCTTGATCCTCTCTCCAGTTCTCTGGCTTCTACTGTGATCTCTCGATGATTTCTGAACCCAATACATCCTCTATTTATTTCTTTGTCGGCTAGGCTTCTTTCCATTCTGAAAACGGAAGTTCGGATGCAAAATATGAAGTTTTCTCGAAACGTAACACGGCCGTGTTGGGGTAGAACACGGTCCGTGTCCATTGTCTGATCAAAACTATGCGCTTCTGCACGGGCTAGACACGGGCGAGTTGCGTCTCGACACGACCGTTTTTGACTCGACACGGTCCGTGTCAATTGTCTGTAAGAATATCTTCGTTTCCTTGCCTTTGCACGGCCGTGTTCAAGTGCAACTCGAGCTGGAAATGCCTTAATAGTTATGTTCCGATCTAATATGCTCCGAAGTCCTCGATTATGTTCCTCTGACGTCCATAATGCGTCCATTACCTGTTCAATCACCGGAGATTGCGGAAGAAACAAACCCAGTGCTGAAATGATCCTAAATGTCTAATAATGCACAAAACCGATGCAAAAGTGCTACACAATGGGCTTTGAAATAGATGAGAAAATCGTGTTATCACGCAGTAGACACGATCGTGTCGACTTGGTGTATCTTTCATTTCTAGATCAAGGATGAGATACGATCGTATGGCGAGGATGACACGATCGGGTCAACTGTGTGTATCGCTCGATTCTGGGTCACTACTAGAAAATACGGAAAAGGTGACGCAAAAGGTGACGCAAAATTTGTGTTACTAAAATGGTGACGCAAAAGTGACGCAAATAGTGATGCAATATTTTCGTCACTAAAGCGTCACTAAATAGTGACGCAATAGTGACGCAAATAGTTGCGTCACTAAACGGTGACGCAAAAAATAACGCAAAATTTGCGTCACGAAAAAAGATGACGCAAGAGTGACGCAAATAGTTGCGTCACCCTTTGGTGACGCAATTTAGTCACCTTTTAGTGACGCAATTGCGTCACTATATCTGTATTTTATTATTTATACGTATAAACATACAAATATTTATATATAAGTATATATTTTATATATACGTGTATATATATATATATATGTATTTGTACGTATAAATATACAAATATTTCCATATAAATATAAATTTTATATATACGTATATTATATATATATATGTATGTATAATATATATATATGTATGTATTTGTACGTATAAATATACGAGTATTTCTATATAAATATAAATTTTATATATACGTATATTATATATATATATATATGTATTTGTATGTATAAATATACGAATATATATAAAACATAAATTTTATATATACGTATATATTATATATATGTGTATTTGTATATACAAATATACGAGTATTTTATATATAAATGTGTATTTTACATATATTTATACATACAAACATATGTTATGTATATAAATATATATTTTATGTATGTATATATACGTACAAATATATACGTATATATATATATTTGTAAGTATAAATATTTGTATATGTATATGTATTAATGTAGTAATATATCAGAAGTTTAACTTGGATCAGTTGGTTGGTTGTCAATTGGAACTCTAAAATTAAGCGTGCTTGAGCTGGAGCAGTGGAAGGATGGGTGACCTCCTGAGAAGTAGATTTCGAGGATTCAATCTCAGAGTTTCCGATTCGGCTTAAGATCGCGGTTGGAGGTTAGAGGTCGGGAATAGGGTATAGATTAGATTCGGGATTAAAAAAAATTATTTTTGGATCCAAAATACGTTTTAGTGACGCAATAATTGCGTCACCTTTTTGAGTCACTAAATAGTGACGCAATTGTGTCACCAAAAGGTGACGCTAAAAGGTGATGCAATTGCGTCACTATTTAGTGACGCAAAAATTGAGTCACTATTGCGTCACCCTTTGGTGACGCTTGGTGACGAAATCTGAATTGGTAACGGTATGAATGGTGACGCTTTTGGTTGCGTCACTATTGCGTCACCTTTTTCAAAAGGTGACGCAAAAATATAAAAGGGTGACGCAAAAGTTGCGTCACCCTTTTGTTGTTTTCTAGTAGTGGGTAAGGAATGAGACACGATCATATAGCGGAGATGACACGATCGGGTCAACTACGTGTGCTGGATCAACAAAGTTGTTTCCGTTCTTCAGAGTCTTTCCTGCCGAAGGTCCAAAAACGTCGATGAAACATGCAGATCCTGTTGATGACGGTTGATTGAGATTTTTATCCAAGGTGAACTCCACCGTCTCGCCTCCGATCTTCATGATCAGCTTACATCCTCTAACATGGATAACGACATCTGCAGTGTTAAGGAATGGACGACCAAGAATAATAGGTACCTTAGAGTCTTCGTCCATGTCGAGGACAACGAAGTCAACCGAGATATAGAAGTTTCCAACTTTCAGTGGCACATCCTCAAGTATCCCAGCAGAGTATTTAACGGAATGATCGACAAGTTGAAGAGTCATTCTAGTGGGTTTTACTCACCCACGTCCAGCTTCTTGAAGATCGATAATGGAAAAAGACTGACGTCGGTTCCTAAATCACAAAGTGCACGATCGATGGAAACATTACCCAATTTACAAGGGATTGAGAAGCTACCTGGATCGGACCGCTTAAGTGGAAGCTCGTGTTGGATCAGAGTGTTGCATTCGACAGTAAGAGCAACGGTTTCTTTCTCAACGACTCTCTTCTTGGTCAGGATGTCCTTGAGATACTTCGTATACGAGGGAATCTACAAAATAGCATCGGTGAATGACATGGTTACCTCGAGTTTCTTCAACATCTCAACGAACTTCACGAATTGACTGTCTTCGTTGTGCTTCTTCAAACGAGATGGAAATGGGACCGGTGGTGGCCTAGGAGGAGGAGGCACGTAAGTCGGTTCAAGTTCATCATCGGGGATGTCTACAACTGCAGTCTTTGAACTTTTTCATTGCTCAACCATTGGTCGTTCTTCCGCGTTTACCTGCTTACCACTTGATCTCAAAGTAATCGCATTTACATGTTCACGAGGGTTAGTCTCAGAGTTACCTGGAAAAGACCCAGATGGTCTTTGAACGACTGATGCTAACTGAGCAATCTGATTATCCACGAGCTTAAAATGAGCATCGATATTCTCGAACTGCACGCGAAACTCCTGAGTTGTCTTCTCTTGCGCCTGGATGAACTGTTGAAGAAGAGCATGTGTATCTTGAGCCAGATCGCGGTTACCTGGAGATGCAGGGTTGTTGTAGGAGAGATTGGGATGATTCTTCCAATCTGGATTGTATGAGTTCGTGCAGTTGTTGTTGGCCATGTAGTTCAGATCCTCGGTTCGCTCTTTGACTGAATACATGCCAAGACCCTCTTGTGAAAGTGTCAGAGCATCCTTAGTAGAAATCAAATTGGCGCTTGCAAACTTAACATTCAGTGCTGCCAACTGATCAAGAACCAACTGAAGGCTAGAATCGTCGTCATTCCTTGGTAGATCCCGAGAATATTCATTCGGAGCATCCTCTCCTTGAGCCATCAGTTCAATGTGTTGCTCAAACTCCACAAATAACTTGTTCTGGATGCTTCCACCGCAAGAAGCTCGAATCAGAGTCTTAGTATCATTTCGTAGTCCTCGAAAGAAGGTATTGACCAGGTAGTTCTTGTCGAGCCCATGGTGAGGACACGACTTCTGATATCCCTTGTACCTTCTCCAAGCGTCGTAGAGACTCTCCCTTTGATCCTACTTAAATGAGTGTATGCCTTAGAGAGCTGCTTGAGTGAGGTGGGCTGGAAAGAGTTTGGACATGAACTGAACTTCCAGCTGATCCCAAGTATGGATGGAGTCAGGTGCTAAATCATATAACCATTCCAATGCAACATCCATGAGAGTCCAAGGGAAAGCAAGTAGACGGAGGTCATCGTCCGTCACCCTGGCCTCTCTTTTGATCGAGCGGCACATCATCTTGAAAAGTGTAAGATGTGCATTCGGGTCTTCGTTTGGCCTGCCCCAGAAAGAATTATTGCTGAGCATCTGAATAGTAACCGGGTTGAGCTCAAAACGAGTCATGTCGATAGTTGGCAGTCGTATACCGACCATAAGCTCGGTGTGCTTTGGCATGTTGTATTGATCAAAAGTTGATAGTCGGCAGTCGTTCTCCATCTGCCTCTGTTGTCGGCGGATGCATGTAATGGTTCTTTCAAGTTCAGGATCAAAAGGCACTAGATTTGATATCCCAGCACTTCTGATAATGCACTAGGAAACCCTGCGCACAGACGAAAGACAACAAACAAACGAAGAAAACGTGAGAAAATACTCAAGAAAAAGAAAACAAAAAGATCCAGACTAGATAGAATATAATCCTATTGTCTAAATTGTCCCCGGCAACGGCACCAAAAAACTTGATGTCTCAAATCTAGGTGTATAAATTTGGTCAAGTGATAATATCCTAGATTCAACAAATATTGCAAGTGTACGGTTCAATTGTAGTAACTGATACGTGTGTATCGAGTCTAAAATCTATAACCCGATTCACAACTCACCGCAAGGATACGGATCGTCGTAACACGGGGTCGAACACAAGGACCGGTTGCTAAATCCAAATCTCAATCGAAAATAAATCAAAGCAAGCAAGTAGAAGTGATGGTGGAAGTATATGGAATGAATAGAAAATAAGGAAGCAAAACAATAAAAGCGAGTAAACTAGCAATCTAAGATGACCGTGGGTGTCGGGACCGTATTCGCGTGTATGGGTATATGCTAAGCATGCGAGAATCACGATATTGAATCTGTATTCGGGAATCATCAAGTAACAAAAATAGAGAAATTACCTTCCAGCATATAACTCCCTATCTAAGGTTTTCTAAATCCATATCCTATGTGATTTATCAAACTAGATGCATGAAGAACACTATCATCAACCCTAGATCGATCAAACCATATTCCTATGTGAATAATACGATCTATTCTATCGATTTCGATCCGAAACTAAACCCATATTCCTATGTAGTTCAGAATCTGAAATAATTGGCCAAGGGGTCAGCAAACACCAATCGAAGAAAGCACAAATCGATAAAACCGAAACAAATTCAAATCGCAACCAAGTTAAGGTTCAAACATACCCAAAACACAAACGAATCCCTAACCCACAGCCGTGGATCTACTCACGGTTCATGGAAAAACACTGAGAAAAACTAGAAACAGAAAGAAAAGAGGGAGAAGAAAGACTCATGTCGACAGCAATGCGATCTTCCACGCATCTCGAGTTTCTAGGACGTTGAAGTTGAAGGACATCGGTTTTCTCTCTTTTTTTTTCTTTCTTTTCCTTTTTTTTCTTTTGATGCGATGTCCGATCCACAACTTAGACCCGAACCATCAATCGATGCACTCATGTCCTCGAACGATTTTCGTTAACGAGATTTTGGCAGCGGAGTGTCGAGATGCTTTATTTTTCGAAGGCATTTGTTGAACTAGATTTCATAGACCTGCAAGACTCGGAAAAGATTCTAAACGAAACATGTAACCTGGATATAGTCGTTTCAATTTCGTAGGTTCCAAACAACAACCTCATCCCACAAACTATATATAGAAAGTCTGGAGAACTATCAATTCGACACGGTTCAACCACGCTCTACAAAGTCACTAGATCATTAAGATGTTCCTACTCTATTAGATCATCAAGATGTTCCTACTCTATCATTCTACAAATCCTCCAAATGCTGTTCAAAACGGGTGTCCGAGGTATGTACGTGAACCTATATGAACCTATATCTATATGTCATATGCAATCATGCAAACCTAACAAAAACCATCTATATGGAAAAAAGAAAAAGAAAACGTGAATGCAACTAATGCAAAGTGATATGCAAAAGGGTAAAAACTTTCCTAAGTCTATATGCCATGATAAAATGCACCTAACTAAATGCAATCCTAAGTAGATAGGCCTGAATGGATGAAGGATCTATCCACCCCCCCAGACTTGAATCATACACCGTCCACGGTGTAGACTCTCGTCCGAAAAAGTAGAATCGAAAACAACATATGAAAAGGACCATATAAGAGGGATAGAGAAGGCTTAGCTCTGCGAAATTCGTTCGCTCGCAACGAAGTTAACTCACGTCAAACGCAGGAGCTCTCACACACTCTGTGAATTGGAACCTATCCAACGTTGTCTCTCGGAAGCCGATGCTCATCTCTCGCGTGCTGGTGTAAACGCTCATAGAACAACAAACGTTATCCGAACAAAAGCATAATAGCAATGCACTCCGAAAGATCCAAAATACAATCAGGGTCTCTACTACCTACGCTACGAAGAAAAAGAAAAAGAAAAGTTACCTAATGCTCGGGTTGCCTCCCGAGAAGCGCTTGTTTAACGTCATTAGCTCGACCTATCTTGCTCAAATGATGGGAGGGTCTGAGAGGCGAAGATAATCGATCTTTCGCCACCCTGGATGTTGAGTATTAAGCGCATCTTTTGTACCTCGTAGACGCTTGAGCCGTCTATCCTCCTTGAGTTTCCAAACTTGTGATGGAGGTGATTCATGTGGACTTTTGAGCGATGATTTTGCTCGTTTCGATCCTCTCTTGCTCATTACCCCTACTCGAGAACCTGTAATAGAAGGTTCAAACACGGATATAGGATTACGAGTGGGATATGTACCTCTCTCCAATGATGGTCCTGTGTTCCTATCCGTGTATGTATGTTCCTTTGTCCTAAGCCTTTGAGGTAGGAGCTTCAATTTTACCTTCGGGCAATTCTCTAGACTCCATTCTGCTTTATTCAACGTCCCCGTGCTAAATGGTGGCTTTCTGGGCTCTAACCACAACATCGGCCGTGTTTAAGAATGGTCGGCCTAATATAATCGGTATCTTCGAGTCTTCGTCCATGTCTAAAACAATAAAATCAATGGGAACATAGTAATCCCCGATCTTCAATGGGACGTCCTCGAGAATACCTGCAGGATACTTGACGGATCTATCCGCAAGCTGTAG